ACTTGGCCATAGCTTCTTAATTATTTGCCAGATCCTCGTCTTCTGTGACAACCTCATAGACTAGAATCAGTTAGCACTTCTCCATCTTGTTTTGATATATGCACAACAGGATTTGGCTCTAATCCTCTGGTGGGGGAAATCCATAACAAGGGGGCATAATCTTAAAATTATAGTTTGGCAATTTTAGAGTGAAATCAGAAAGCACTTTTTCACACAAACGTGAGTGGAAATCTAGAATTCGAATTTTGTTAGGTAAGGATATCAAGGGATCTGGAGTAAAGGCGGATAAATGGAGTTGAGGTACAGATCAGCCATGATCTAATAGAATGATGGAACAGGCTTGAGGAGATGAATGACCTAGTCGTGTTCCTATGTTTCTTTGCTCTCACAGGCTGGTAGAGGCTTTAACTTAAAGAAATTCCCTGTGGACTTTGAAATTATTTTATCCTGGAATTGCTCTGCCCTTTGATCAACATAATGTACCAATTAATACTGACAGACCAAACTCCTAAGACTTGTCAAAATGATATTGTCCCTCTGTTGTTGAAGAAGGATAAAATTCTCCTAGAAGTATACATCTCTACCAAATTGTGATTCCAAACTATCAACAGTCTGCCTTTATGGCTGAACAGTCCGGTCATTAAACTGATTTGCGCAGATCAGAATGGACTTATGTGTGCGAGACACTCTTTCAACCATGTTCACCACCTGCTTGATTCAATTCTTAGCGCATGTGTGTGGCGTGTAACTCTTGTTTGATGAAGACAAGATTTTGGACCGAGTTGAGAGACAGCATCAAATGTGCAGCTGAAAAAAATTCACAAATGCGAATGCTTCAAGAAACTAGTTTGAATTCCGGACATCTGGTTACTTGGCAAGAAAGTCAGTCAAACAAATAATTATGAATAAATTTCAAAATCAAGACATTTATCAGTGAAGATACATTAAAAACAAAGCAGCTTGCTTATTAGAATCATTTGCTTCATTAACTGGGAATATACAGTTCCTCTGATACCTGCTCTAAACATTTGTGATCACCGGGTATTACAGCTAAACATGCCCATTCTCTCGAGATTCTAAGAAAATATTTCCAAGGTTTTCTCTGGTTCGATTGTAAAACACTGATTTGGTTCAGTCCTGCTGTCTGAATCAAGCAAAGATCATCCAAATGCTGCCTGGTGCGAGCATTCATAACTGACGTGAAGACACATAAATTAAATCTACTACCATAGGGATAAGCTCAACCTGAAGTAAAAACTAGACTCAATGTGATTTAAGGACCAAGTTAAAGGAGTCGAGAATAGCGTGTCCAAATCACACATTGCTCTATGCTAGGAAACATAGTAAATTGTGAAGATGGGAGCAGAGAATTGCAAAGGGATAAGGACAGATGAAACTAATGGGCAGTACTACAGAAGATGGAGTTCAATTAATCAAAAGTATGAGGTAGTCCACTTTAGATCTAATTAGAATACATCTTAATGAGAATAGAGTAAGACTCCTGAATAAGCAAAGGAATTTAGGTATCTAGGGTCACGTGTCACTAAAATCAAGGTGCAAAAAGCAATCAGCAAAGCTACATGGGGTGTTGGGTCTTTATCTCATGAAGGTTGAAATACAAAAGCAAGGAAGCAAAGCTTCAGTTGTTCAGAATCCTGATCAGAGCTCATCGTGATTATTGTGTTCAGTTCTGGTCACCACACCTCAGGAACGATGTCCTAGCCCAAGATCCTACCATTCATAAGAATGGTACGTAGGTTGAATGGGGCTAAATTAGGAGGCGAGGTTGGACAAATTTGTACAATATTCACTTGAGTTAAGAAAGCTGAGGGGACATCTGACTGAGGTATTTATGAAGAAACTTTTTTTTCCCTGGGAACGTCGGGAAATTGAGAACAAGAGGACATAATTTTAAAACTAGACCTGAACTAACTAAGAATGAAATCAGAAAACATTTTTCACACTAAAGGTTATGGAAATGTGGAATGTGCTATCCCATACAGGTTGTAGATTCCAAGTCAATTGAACTATTTAAGAGGAAGGTGGAGTAACAAGGGATATGGTGAAGCGGGCAGGGAAATGGAATTAAGTTGCAGATCAGCCATAATCTAATAAACAAATGGAACAGACCCAACTGGCTGAATGGTCTACTCTTGTTCCTATCTTCTTTATGTTCCAATATTGTTGAGAGTGTCTGGTCTGTTCTTGCTGCATGGAGAGACAGGGCTGCTTTACTACTGTGTTATCCAAAGCTAGGTTTGATTTTCCTTTTGGTCTGAACAATCATTGCACCCGAAATAATTTAAAAAGTGTTACAATAACTGTGATCACAACAGTGGATTAATGACTTAAACAATGTCTTCATGAGCTTGACTCATTGTAACCTGTTGTAGGTTAAGCCTTAACCTATAATCCACATCAACATCTAGACAGAGATCTGCAGCATAACTTCCAAGGTTCTAAACTCAGACAACAATCTCAATCTTCTCAACACCATTACTATCCTCCGTGGACCAATATGCGATGTAAGCAGGGTCTCCTTGGAGTTGACCTGGCTCTACAGTGACTTGCTTAAAAATAAAGTGTCTTGATCGAGTCAAGCTTCTGTAGTGGTGTTAGTTCCTGGGCCAGGGTCTATGGTTTAGTCAGCTTGGTTGATAAACAGGATTAGCAGAGAGCACACAGGGTGCTGGGATTCTTTTCACTCAGCTCCTTATAACACTGCAAATCAAAGCCCTCTCAGGTAGAATGGTCCTTGCAGGATAAGCAGCAGGAAACTTGCCAGACTAAACACTCATGTTTGACATTTTCCCCATTGATTACTGTACAGTAACCTCTTCTCATACAGTGTAAGTCTAGGCCAGTACATGTTTTGTTTCCCGTAGCAGAACAGGCTAAACTAGCTGACGCTTCAACTTGATACCCAATGCAAAACCTCAAGTTAATGGCTCAGAAAATTACCAGGCTTTATCCAGACAACTCTGACTACAGAGCACAATCAGTTTAGTAACCAGATATTCAATGCCTGCTGAGGAAGTAAGACCGGTGTAATTAATATCCCACTAGCCTGCATTTCTCTTGTATCCCACTGAGTGCTCTGCATGTATTTCGGGTCAGTGAATGAGCAGAGCATGACAAGCAGACATCTGTGTTTTCTGCAATTTGAAACAATAAATAATCAAAGTATGGAGTTAGGTTACAGGCGCCCACCCTCAAAGCGTTTGAAAATGGCCCAAAAGACCTTTTTAACCTGCTGAACCCAGGCACTATTCTGCTTTTCAAAGTGTGGCGCTGATGAGCTCCTTCTGAATTATTTCTGGAAGCAGGCAAAGAATATGGATGAACTCTTTGAGTCTTTCAGCTGTTGTTTTTTCGCTTATGAATCCGGTTACTGTGTTACTGCAGCAAATACTAATATGCGCCCAGAACCATTCCAAACACAGCACTGAACTGTAACATGAACAAACTTAATCCCCACAAAGCACGCCAACGAACTGTAAACTTTTCCAATTACGCCAACCGATGTGCGTCAAATACATCAGCACACTTTAAAGTTACTAACATACAAGAGCAAAATTCTCCCAAATGACAATAACAGTCAAACTGTGATAAATTGGTTCAAAGCCACCCATATAAGCAAATGAAGACTGCTGAAGGAAGTTGTTAGGTGTGTCTGAGCAGAGAAAGTCAATGTGCTAGATGCTAATAAGATTGCTCGTGATGACATTGGTTGACCCAGGTTTGTGGGATATTCCTGGACCGTGGGTTGTATCTTGGGAACGGGGATACTTGACTCCAACGACCCAGCTACAACAGAACTGAGTTTGACCAGTACACTGGGAAGGGATTTGGAGAGAGTGCTCAGGTTATTGCTCTCAGTCAATAGTTAATTCTCTATAACCTGAGCCTGAGGGAAGTAATACCAACTTGGATCATAGTCTTCCTGCAATAATAATAATAATCCTTGCATTTGATATAGCGCTTTTCACGTCGGGAGGACGTCCCAAAGCGCTTCACAGAACACACTGTAAAGTGAATTGACTGTATATTTGTGGGCGAACGCGGCAGCCAATTGCACACAGCAATGTTCCACAAACAGTCATGGATTGAAAATGACCAATTTATTATTGGTTTTGGTTTTGGAGGGATTATTATTAGGCGTGTGGAGTAAGGAAACTTGCCCAAGGTTTCGCCCTGCCTGGAATTGAACTCAGGTCTCTCGCTTGCAAAGCGAGTGCTCTAACCACTGAGCTACAGGACTCCTATTGAGACATTGGACACATATTGAGACATTCTGGAAGCCACAATTCTTACCACTTACCACTTTACCCAAACTTGTTTAAGACATGCTCCTATTTATAAATGTGATCAAAAAGCACCACTTACTAAAACCATGAAAAATTTGTAAATAACAATTGATCAGTTTAATGGCAACAGATATGGCGCTTAAAATTTGTGGTATTTCTGAGCAGGATAAATCCCAATGACCCACAGGACCTCCTGACGGGAGGTAGACTGCATCTGAGTGGAGGCATCATGGGCTGGCGTGACGTATTTCCACTTACCTGAAGGAATCCTGCTAAGAAGTACCTCAAATTAGACCTTTTTGGATCTACCTATGCTTTGGATGGGAAAAGCATTTGACAGTGAAACAAATAGCGATAATAGGAAATACTTGTGAGTTCAACTGTTTAATGCATTGAGACTACCCTTGCTCGTGATCACATAGCATCTCATTCATTTCACCACATGGGTGCATGCGAGTCCAGGTTATTAAGACAATTGCATTGGGTTCATATCTTAAGTCTAATTTGGCACAGTAAGTACTTCATGTCTTTTTTATAGGGTGGGCAGGACGTTCATTGCATGTTTTTGCTAAATGTGTTCATATTGTTGTGATCTTCTGTGAGGAGCCAAAAAGAGTACCTTTCATATTTAACAGTGACAAATCTGAAAACTGGGTGCCCCAAATGATGCACAAACCACCTGTAATAACTTACCTCCTTGCTGGGTTTTAACCTGTATTTCAGGTGAGTGTGGTCCGTCACCAACAGAAGTAAAAGCTAGTACTCGAACAGTGTAAGTGGCCTCTGGGATCAGATTGGCGATGGTGGTCAGCATGCTGTCATCCACATTGTGTTTCTGCCAGTTATTCACATGCTGCTCCGGATCCATGGTATAATACACCCTGTAACCACGGATCTGACCGTTTGCCTCCTCTGGCTCCTGCCATTGAATCAGCATGGTGGTGGTGCTCAGCATGCGAGCCAGCACAGAGAGGGGTGGGCTGGAGGGTGCCTGCTCTCCAGTTCGTGTATCCACTGGCTCACTTGGCGGCCCTCGCCCAATGTTGTTCACTGCAACCACTCTGAATTCATAATCCGAATAAGGGCTTAGTCCTCCAACACTGTACCGCGTGGTGGCTACCCCGTCGATCTCTTGATATTGACCTTCTATTTGTTTAGGTCTGTGTTGAACTATATAGTGTGCAATGGGCTCTGGGTTTCCTGAGTCCCAAGTCAATGTGACACTAGTTGCTGTTGTTTCAGTCACAATAGGGGTTCCTGGGGGTTTGGGTAAAGCTGTAATAGAAGAACAAATTAATAAATAAATCTGTGCGTTTGATGACCTTTCGTGTCAGAGAATGTCTCAATGTGCTTCATACAACTCACTGTAAAGTGTAGTGACTGTATTTTGCACAACACAATACTGTGCACTGATATCGGTATGAGGTTCTCCTCACACTGTTATATAATATTGCACTCACTATCTATTAGTCTACATTCTTACCTTTGCTGCACCTAGCACTAATTGTGAAATTTCCTAACAGGAGAGATAAAGCTGTTTACTGTACTGCTTTATTATTGTAAGCTTGGTTAGCTTGCTTAAATTCAAAACATCTAAACTGGTTGGCAATATGCGATTTGAATTATTATTATTCAGTGCATTGAAACTTGAAATGTTATTCTGCAGGATAATGGTTCTGCATCTGCTACAGTCATGAATTGTACTCAATATTTAATCAATAAACACCTCCGATAATTTGCAGCTAATCCATGCTGGTTATTCTTGTGCTGTTCATAAGCTTGCCAATGGTTCCTTCTTAGCATTGTATCGAGTTATTTTCTCAAG